TGGTTTAATATTCACACACACAAGTCTATATCGAGATTTGATTTCAAGTGTACTGAACTGCTTTCCATTTATTCGCCAAAAAAAAAATTCCATGCAATGGGCTCTATGCACGGCGTTATTTCCGTTGAAGGATTAAGGATGCTCGATAACTTCCGCCGATCATAGAGTCCAATGCAATACCGAGAATTTATATTGAATTTTATACTCCATGGTTATACTAATGAAACGTTAGTCACAAAAACAGATAAAACAGACACCCCTCGTTGTGTTTATGCTTCTTTTTAAAATTATATTAAATAAACATAACTATATATAAAATTACATCTAAAAGTATGTACGTTTCGTTTCAAAGACGGGAGGACAGTAAATATTGGAGACTCTGCCATAATCCCGTTTTCTCCGGTTTTCCTCCGCTTTACTCTACACAACCGGAAATGGACGAGCATCCTTACGTCAAATGCGGAACTTATGCGTGCATATAGCCCATTCCACGTTACAAGAAAAATGTATGCCTTTGGCTTTGGATAAACAAATAACACTCGCACAAAAAAGCAACCATTTTCAAATCATCTTTGAAGAAATTATGTAAACATTTATAGTTCAGGGTGGAAAAAATATGTGAACCCTTAAAAAAAAAAAAAAACAAATGGTTGACCTTCAATATCCACAAAACATTTCTTTCAATTGCTGGTCTGATAAATAAGGTTTTAGATCACTAACTTTGAGATGTCTGGTGAGAATCGGTTTCTTGTGGCCATCCCAAATTCATGGTAAATCCAATCATTTGCTTTGTGGTAAGAATTTGAAAGAATTTTACCTTTTCTTTCATGTCATTCAAAACCAGATAGCTGTTTTTGTATGCTGTCCACTATATTCCAACTGATGTGATGATGGTTCACAAGATGTTATTTTCTTTGGGTAAACCAACTCTTTAACTGGAATTTTCCCTCCCATTAGTCTGAGCTTAAAGGGTTAGTTCACCCAAAAATGAAAATTAAGTCATTAATTACTCACCCCCATGCTGTACCAACCCCGTAAGACCTTCGTTCGTCTTCGGAACACAAATGAAGATATTTTTGATTAAATTTGAGAGCTGTATAACTACCACATTGGCTCCTAAGGGACTGCCTCTTGACGGCCCAGAAAGTCAATGAAGAAAATGTTTAAATATACTCGTATACGAATAAACTCGTTATTTTTGTTTGTTTTTTCGCACAAAAACTATTCGCGTCGCTTGATAAACATATAGTTGAGCCACGGTAGTCACTTGGGATATTTAAACATTTTCTTCATTGACTTTCTGGGCCGTCAAGAGGCAGTCCTTTAGGAGCCAATGTGTTAGTTATACAGCTCTCAAATTTAATCAAAAATATCTTCATTTGTGTTCCGAAGACGAACGAAGGTCTTACGGGGTTGGTACAGCATGGGGGTGAGTAATTAATGACTTAATTTTCATTTTTGGATGAACTAACCCTTTAAGGTCACTCAAGCAAGCAACCAAAATGTGTCCTCATGTCTGTGCTGACCTCAACCTCTGCAACAGCGTTTATTTGCACGCTAACTGGGCTAAATGGAATTAGCCTGGAAGCGTGACATTCATCTGTGATTGGATAAAGCAATAGCCATCTTATAACTCTCTGCTTTTTCAGCACAGCACAGCTCAGGGTCAGGGTGACTGATAGACTTTAATCTTGGTGGAAATTGTCTTTGGATGCCAATTTCAGCCAAAAATCTTTTGTATTTTTCTAATAATGGTAGCAGGTAGAGGGTCAGGCAGCTTTGTTGCACACCAGTGAAGACTGATGTCTTGCTCTAAAGTTTTCTTTCAGTTTTTGAAGCTTTCTTATGGTCGTTTATGCATTGATTAGTCACTGTTTTTTCACAATGAGGTTGCGAGCATACGTATGCTGTAAAGAAAGTTGTTATGGTCGTTGTTACGATCATTATCGCAAAATAAACCCAGACAGGGTGACCTGGTATCATCCTCCTGAGAGGGTTTATTTTGTGATAATGACTGGCTGCTGCTGTGCATTATACCATTTGCCTTCTCACAAAATAAAAAAAAATAAAAAACATGCGAAAGTTTGAGCAGAGTTAAAATTATTTTATAATCTTACTGCTTATCTGCTGGGTCCCTGAAGTAAAAACTTCTTTCATTTTCTCCACATAGGGAAATTGATTTTTAAACGATAACTTACAAACCATTAAAGACAGACCTATTGTGAGATCAGATGTTGTTAATCATGTTCCTATGCTTTTGTTGAAGCAATCAGTTCGCAGTATTTCATCGTATTTTTCAAATAATAATGTTTAATAGCATTATATGTGCAATGTATTTAAGATAGCTGTGTCAAATAGTCCTACACTCAAATACATAATCTCCATGTCTCAGTGTGACTGTTTCACTCTCTTGATCTTTCTCGTTCTATTTTACCACACACACACACACACACACACACACACGACAGTGAGGGGGAGCCTATGACAGATTGCTGCTTATGCTACAGTATATGTACTTTGCTGGAAGAGCGTGAGTCACCATCCGCACAGTTATTCATGTGCATTTATCAGAGACATGGAAGACAAATCATCAACATACATCCACGCATGTTTGTTTGCATAAATCATTAGTACACTTGATGATTTGATGTTCAAATAAACATAGACCTCCATAATCATGAGAGGCAAGTTTCTACACTCGCCCGCTATTTAAAATATAATGACTCGCTTCTTAATTGTGCAAATGTGAAAATAGGAAAGCAAAATCAACATGCTTCTCATGCTGTGGATCTAATCTCGAGCAAATTTAATCTATTAGAAATACAGCAAGCTAATGCCAATACAATTTGGCCAAGCGTTTGTTGTTTCATGTGCAAGGCCTAACCCTTTCTGTTGTTTTTTTATTTACCAACAAATGCGGCGGCGATTTTCGTTTAGGTGTAATCTGTTTGTTTTAAATACATTTTTTCTTACCTTTTTACAAAAAAAAAGTTGCCATTGGATGTCCAAAAGAAAATGTTGGCCTTAAACAAGACCCAATTGTGCTCGATGTCAGCGTTTAGGAGCTGTTACACCATCAGTTGCAAAGCTAATTGCTTCATGAATCAACTGCGCCCTCTGCTGACTGGGACCATCGTCATTAACACGACACCAGGCCTTGCCATCTATTTCTATAGAAGTTACATAACAATTTCCCACTTGAAATGATAAAAACAGCACATCAGTATTGTAAGATAATCAGCTTATGAGAACATCCGGGCAGGCAAATTCTGAAATTTGAGAGGCACTCGGTGTACCTTGAAAATAATATCGATCTATAAAAGCATCCAGCACGGATGAGTTTGGCATACAATTTTCTTTCTGACAGACAGTAATGTTCAGTAGAACACAGCGTTCACAGCATATAAATATATTCATTCTCTTTGCTTAGTCTATTATTACCATATTCCATTTTGAGTGTGAGATATTCAGTTCTCACTGAATGAATATTTATTTGCATTTTAATTAACTTTATAAAATGTGAGAGAATTTTATGCATATTAACATTAAATGTGTGTGTTTGTGTGAGTGTAATGATTTAAATACATGACACATATAAAAATATCTGTCCTCTGTAACTGTAATGGTGTAGGCTACTTAAGAATAATATGATCTCAGCCAATGTTGTTTTGTAGAATCCACAAAGTGTACATGATGCCTCTGTAAAGTCCTGGTCTGGTGGAAGTGGGAGATAGGATGGGTTTTATGAGCAGAAAATGACCTTTCTTTTAAGTAAGGGATATTTCCCCTTTCGTCAGAACCCTCACAGAAATGTGCCGGCAGGAAGATGATTTTTTTTAAAAAGCCTTCATTTACCATCAATATAGAAGCCTTTTTGTACAAAATATCCCCAAATCTGCCAGTGGAGAAGTTTAAAACCCTGCAGTGTCCTGTTTGGTGAAGGTACCCACGCAAGTAGCAAAAGTGCTGCCAGCACTGACCGCCGAGACCACAGTAGCGACAGCGCAACATATGGACAGTCAGTAGGGAGGAAATCGGCCTGGCATCTGGGATTTAAGAATTATGGATAAATTGACCAGAGAAAGGGACACTTTTTCGCTATTAGGCCTATTCACTATAGGCCTAATACTGTTCTATGATGTAGACTTTAATGCAAATTGCCTGGTAAACAGTGTGTCTGTGAGAGTTTTAAAAGCTGTGACATTAAAGCACATTTTTGGGTTTCATCATTGAGCTACTCATAGCTTGTGGCAGCTTTACTTAGCCTGTGTTTTTTTTTATTTTCCCTGTAAGGTATTGTATGCAGACAGAGAGCAGTAATCCACACATTTTTGGGCAGTGCTTGTTGGTTTTGGGCAGTGTGAAAGGTTAATGTTACACAAAACTGTGGGAAAGGAATTGACCCTAGGAAAATCAAGCCCAGAGTGGGATCATTTCTGACTCATGTACTCGTCATGATGCACGATAAGCTTGTATGTGACTGAGAATGTGTGTGACAACCACTAAGGGCAACACACTGAATGATCTGACACTATTAAAAGATGTGCTGCCTGTGGGGTCCAGTGGAGCTGAAATCCTGAGATACGTGAGCAGGCTGACTAATAGGAGTCTGCACACACACAAGATGAGGACACTCATTGACACAATTCAATCTCTAACTCCTTATCCTATCCCATCACAACTAACACAAACTCTTACCCTTAACCTAATTATCCCTAACTTTATCCCTAAAAGTCTTAACCCTCAAAACAGGACTTCAAAGGAGTATCAGAAAGTGACGAGTCAGCAAAAATGTCCCCGTTTTATCATCAAACCAGTCTTAAAACACTTACGCACGCATACAGTCTCACACACACGCACACACAAATATTTATTTAAAGCCCCATATATTAGCACTGGCATGTGGCCTGGGGACAAGCACAGAATGAAATATGAACAGGAATAATAAAATGTATAATAATGTGCATGTGCAAGATGATTAATAAGAACAAGACTCCCAGTAATCTGTATCCTTTTTAATACTGGTAGTATTTGCATTTGATTAGTGACTATATGGCCCTGATCCGATGTAATTTACTCTCACTACTGCACAAATAAACATTGGGCTTATTTGCATACATCCTTTTTCTTTGGTTAGAATGACATCTAAAAACACAACAGAAATACACAAGAAGAGACCGTAAAGGGTCCCACGGATATCACTTTAAATGGTGTTGATTAATACTGCCTTTATGTAACTAAAATAATTAAATGTGAGACAAGTGATATTTAGTAACACGATCAAAGCGGATAAAATATAGCATATTATCATACCTATTAACACCTTGCGTGAAATTCGCAGCTGTGAATGACGTACCCATCTGGCCCCTTTTACACAGGCATCAGATATAACAATTCTCATCAGAAGTATGTCATTGATAAAATGTAAAAATGCACTGAAGTCTTTGGTGTGAGGCATCGTCAAAATTCTCTGTAGGTTCATGCAAGACAATGCAGTTCATTTTCTCTAAAAATTAGAGGATCTTTGTACCTAATTATATCATAATTGAATGAAAATCTCTGCATATTTTAATCTAAAGCCAAAATGTGATACACAATATGCCCAATTTCACAGACAAGGCTTAAACTAGTCTCAGACTAAAATACATGTTTGAGCTGTTTTAACTGAAAGTAATTTGACTGACGTTTCTTATGTAAATTATGCCAGTGCTGTTGTTTTGTCTCAAGATGCACACCAGTAATGTTTTTTTTTTCTAAGGTCCATTTATAAAAGCTAGTCAAATGTCCTAATTGAACTAAGGCCTAACCCTGGCTTAATATAAGCCCTGTCTGTGAAACCAGACCATACAATGTTCTCAAGTAAGATCGTAATGAAAGCACTTTAGGGCATTTTCTTGTTCAGATCCAAACTTCCCATACTTAATTCAGCTCTAAACCCGTACCTGCACCAAACTTCAATAAACATGGCTGTGAAACTGGCTTAAACCTGTAGGCATTTATGTAACCCAGAGCGGGAGCTCTGTGTCTTCCTGTTGATCTACACCACCTCCACGTAGTTAGCAGGGTAAAGGCCCTCTTTCCCTCCATCCATCATGCCTCTGCACCAACCCTGATCATCCTCATCCTCGATCTTTAGAAACTCCTCACCTGAACACACACACAAACAGAAAAAGCATCAGAGGTGGTACACGTACATCATATAGACATAAAATATGAATATACAAACACAAAGACAGCTGACCTGCTTTGAAGGAGAGTTCATCTGTCTCCTGTCCAACATAGTCATAAAGAGCTCTGACTCTCACTCCTCCAATCATTACACTGAGACGAGGAGGGAAAACAGACGCAGTCAATAAACTACAGTAAGCCCTGCATTAAAAATGTTGCAGACCACTCTGATCTTATTATACCTCCTACATATCCACCATATCAGCAGACCCTTTTCTAATGCAAATCTTGTGTTTGGATCATTTTATTTTTATTTTTTTCTCGATAATTCGATAATTATGGACAGCCCATTCTCACCCCCAAGCGTCACTTAACTGACGCCTCGGGGAAGCATTTGGACATGCTTCAATATCTGACGCTTTAGGCGCCCTTTAGCGTCAGTTAGATGACGCCCTAGGATCGCGTGTACCCTACCCCCACCCCACACCTAAACCTAACCGCGTCCTCTAACTGACGCTTTCCTTTAGCGTCAGTTAGATGACGCCGTAGGATCGCGTCATGTAAGTGACGCTAAAGGGCGCCTAAAACGTCAAATATTGAAGCATGGTCAAAGGTGACGCCTTGGGGTGAGAATGCGTTGTTATGGAAGCCCATTTCTGCATAAAAAAATGTTTTGTTAAATAAAAGGTCAAAATGATGACATTAATTTAAAATGTCTAAATTATGACAAAAATATAAATAATGGCAAAATCTCATGTCATAATTATAGCATATAAAATCGAAATTATGCGATTGGTCTCAGACTAAATCGCATGTTTGAGCAGTTTTAAATGAAAGCAACTTGCGGTGGAATATCTTAAAATATTTCAGTGCCGTTGTTTCGTCTCAAGATGCACATCAGTAATGTTTTTTTTCTAAGGCACGTTTATAAAAGATAGATAAATGTCCTAATTGAACTATCACCTAATCCTGTCAGTGAAACCAGGCCAAAAAGTTATAAAAACTTGAAATGGACAAAAACATAATTAGGACAAAAAGTTGAAATAAGACACCAAAAGTTTTAATTATGACAAAAAGATGATATTATGAAATTATGAAGACAAATTTAGTCAGTTATTACAAAAATATCGGCCATGTCACAATTATCTCAATTTTGATGTTTTATCTCATAATGATGACTTACTATCTCATAATTGTGACTTAGTATTTAATAATTGTAACTTTTTATTATAATTATGACTTTGTTATACCAATTAATTATACCAAATTATTATTTTCTTTAGTGACCTTAAGTTCATTTTATGTCATAATTATGATTTACCAGTGTACTATATATTTTCCATAGTAATCAAGTGTAGCGTCAGTTCTGGCAGGTCACGTTAGTCAAGCTTGCGTCAGCTGACTCTCAGCTGATCCACGTCTACCAATATGAATATGATGCCTATCACTGTATACATATATAAGCTCCTTCAGTATTATCAGCAGCTATCGCATTTCTCAGGAGCTCATTACCCTCCTCCATCCCCAGCTCCTCCTCTCGTCAGTCAGGATTTGCCATTCTGATTACCCCTGAATCAGACTAAAATTCTCTAATTACGTTGTCATTCAAATTAAGTAATGATATATGCAATACATTCATGTTGGTTCTGTTCTGTTTACCATATTGCTGCTCTCTCTTATCTATGCTAGGCTGATGGATGTGCAGGGAGTTCTTGCCCAGAACGGAACCATACCGCCAATCCTAACGGTATGCTAATTGTCAATCGTATTTGACGATGGTCCTGACAGAAATACTTTATTTCAGAAAAACGTGATCATCTTTTTTCTTTATTTTTAATATTGTATATATCATATATGAAACTTATATAAAAGTACCATATAACTCAAAAAACAGTGAAACACTACTGTAGACAAAAGAAGGATATCAATGGAAGTTAATGAGGATAAGATAACTTTAGGGTCAATTCTTTCAACATCTGACCAAATAAAATGTCACACATTATAACATTTCAGACTATTAACATCCTTGGACAGTTTTAAACAGAATTTCTCCGATACTCTGATACGTTGCTTGAGCACTTGCGTATAATCATAACATGATTTACAAACTTAACATCTTTTTATTATCATATCGATTCAGTTCATTGAACTGTATTGTCGATAGTAACTGTAGTGAATGTGTTGTAGAAACATTAGGAACAGTTATGTAGTTCACTTACACTAATGTTATCACACTAGTAATGTCTTTCGAGTTATTTTTTTCTCTTTAAAGTCGACTGTGATCAGCATTTGCCCCAATTGTGCTTCGCAGACTCCACAGATTTCCTCACAATACTGTATATATTTTAGATTTTTGTAAAGACCAAAAATGTTTTGCTTCATTTAAGTATTGTATGTAATAACCACTCAATGTTTGCAACTGTATTTTACTATAAATTACACTGTTCAAACCCCAATTCATGTCCTGTGAAGCTTGTCTGAGCAACAGTAACCAAGGTGGCTGAGCTTGGCAAAGGGTCAATTCACAGCAGCAAAGAATAACAAGGCCAGTTCAAGTCAGGTTTGTAGCGTTTAACAGTAGGACAGCCCTGTGCTGTAAGAGCCCTACAGCAAATATCAATGTAGCAAACTGACCTTCTCTCCATCATTACTGCTTTCTGCTCCACCTCCTTCTTTCCCTTTTTATGCTTCTTGTCTGGAGTCCACTCCTGAAACAGAAAGAGAGTAAAAGCCAGAGTGAGAGAAGGAGTAAATGTGGGTTTTGGCACAACAGAACACAGTCTATTTAAAGATGTGTCTCTGTTAGATACATAATTAAATATCACAGATAACAACAAAAATAAACTCTAACTCTGACATCCTCAGGAATGCATTAATCTCATAACAATACTTTAAAACAAACCCTATAACAGCTTTCTTTTACTCTGGACTTGAGTGATGTGAATGCCACTTATTGCACATTTCTCATTGCTCATTCTCATAGACTTATTATAGTGAATGAGAATCCAGGATATCAGAGACACATGAGTGACATGGGTGACTCTAACAAGACCCTAACCTCTTGGCAGTTATGCACAAGCAATTACCATATTACTCAAGTTTTAATCTGTGTTTGGGGAACACTCAATAATGTTTATTAGTGAACTACATTAGTTAACATGAACTGAATGAACTGCACTTATTTAACAGCATTTATTAATCTTCGTTAATGTTAATTTCAACATTTACTAATACATTATTAAAATATAACGTTTTATTAACATTAGTTAATGCACTGTGAACTTACATGAACAATGAACAGCTGTATTTTTATTAATTAGCGTTAACAAAAATGAATAAATACAGCAACAAATGTATTGCTCATTGTTAGTTAATGTTAGTTAATACATTAACTAATGTTAACAAATGAACCTTATTGTAAAGTGTTACCATGTTTGGAAGTATAAATGTATTTGGAATATACCTGAAATTGAGGCCAGTCAGTGGGCATTCCCGGCCCATGTGTATTCTTCCACCAGCGCAAATCCTCCTGCTCGCTGATGGACATCAGAGTGTTATGGAGCTCATTGTACACGGCTTTTATGCTAACACATAGAGAGAGAGAAAGAGAGAGGTCAATACTGAAATTGAGATTTTGACCAGAATGACCCTTCTCACACACCTGTCATTGTTAGTGACATCCAAGTGTCTGTGGATGGAAAGGAAAGCCTGTTTGAGGAAACTTATCCTCTTCCTCTCCTCCTCTTGTGATTGGTCAAAGATAGACTCCATTTCCTCCATGTAGCGCGGAGCATAACGCGTCACTTCCTCGAGAACCTTCTCATAGCGGGCTCGCACCTGCAAACGGGAATTTGCAGTCAATCAGTCAGATTGCTCAGTGCTTATGTGACCCTTCAGATTGACTGTCATCAAAGAACCCTAAAAACAATGTATCAGAGTTTCCGCAAAAATATTCAGCACTACAGTTTAAACATTGACAATAATAAAAAAAATGTTTCTTGAGAACCAGATTATTAGAATGATTTCTGAAGGATCATGTGGCACTGAAGACTGGAGTAATGATGCTGAAAATTCTGCTTTGCATCACAGGGTTATATAAAATATTAATTAAAACACATATATATGAAGAGTTCAGATGCAAAAGCCTCTAAGTGCCATTTGAAATTTTCTTCTAGAATGATCATTTTTATCAAGCTTGTATATTTAAGTTCAGTAATTTCACTTAAATGGCAATGAAGATTACCTATTAATTGTCATTTAAGTGAAATTACTGAACTTAAATATACAAGCTTGATAAAAATGATCATCGAACTCTTCATATATATATATATATGAAGAGTTCAGATGCAAAAGCCTCTAAATCCCATTTGAAATTTTCTTCTAGAATGATCATTTTTATCAAGCTTGTATATTTAAGTTCAGTGATTTCACTTAAATGGCAATGATAATTACCTATTAATTGTTATTTAAGTGAAATTTCTGAACTTAAATATACAAGTTTGATAAAAATCGTCATTAAAGAAGAAAATTTCAAATGGCATTTAGAGGCTTTTGCATCTGAACTCGTCATATATATATATCTATCTATATATATATATATACTGTATATATATTTTTTTTAATATTAACATTAAATTGTTGAATTGTTGAATTAAATTGTCCCCTTGAATGCCAAACAAAGATTATGTCACAAGACAAACATGACCAGATTTACATGTGTTAAGTTGTCTGTTTTGTTTCCTTTGCGCCTGAGTTGGTTTTCCACCTCCTCTCTTTTCTCTTTTCTGTTAAGTGTTGTATTACTCTTGATCATTAAGTAGTGTGACATACATTGTATAATTTCACAGTATCATAACGCAGTCTGTAAAAGTAATTTTTCATTGAAACTCTCCATTATTTTCTCTTTCTGATAGTTTCCCCCACACAACACTCACTTTCTCTGTCTCCTGGTGAGCTAGTTCGGTCTCTTCCTGGATCTTCCTCTGTTTCTCAATGGCAATGTCAGGGTTTCCTTGGGCGTGGGCCCCCCGCTCACGAGCCATGTGTTCCTTGCGACAAGCTTTGTGAAATGCTGTCCTGGCCTTCTCTAACTGTCACAAAAAAAAACACACATTTAGTGGTCAGATTCATTCAGTATTGTACAATGTATGCATTAATTTTCAATAATACAGTTCATTACTTGCAGTTATTCCACAGTTACCATATACATTCTTATTTGGAGACAGAACAAGTGAAATTGGTTAAAAAATCTCAGCATTGCTTTCTACCTTCTTCAATCTCTTGCCCCAGGGCTTCTGAGCACGTGAGAAACCGGTTTCAAAATCCTGGGACTCCTTGAAACCTCCAAATATCTTCTTATGGAAAGTGTCCTTCTGCCACGTCCGGATGCGATCTCCATCCTCTGACACCAGAGCTCGGCAGATGGAGGAGTGCAGTGAGGAGAGGCGGTCAGCAGAAGAGAGGAAGCACTGCCACGCTTGTAACAGAGAGCCGTAGAGAGGACCTGGACAAAGACAAACATTCATGGAATAAATGAGAGGACCTTTTAAGGTCACAAACAGATACTAGGTCATCAGATACTAAACTAAAGATGTGGGCATCTCATGTTAAATATGGCACTACTCATACTTTGAAGACATGCATTTACTAAAATGTGGGAAATACTTTTTGATTGCAAATGAAAGGTTACATACATTAAAAAGTGAGAAAAAAATGGGGGTATACGGACATCATAAGAGAATGAATTAGGCTACACAAATCAACACAATATTTCATTGTGTCAATATGCAAAATTAAAGGTTCCTTAAAAAAAACTGTCAAATCAGCACATTAGAATGATTTCTGAAGGATGTGACTGAAGACTGGAGTAATGATGCTAAAAAAACACAGGAATAAATGACATTTTAAAATATAATAAAATACAAAACAGTTATTTTTAAATTGTAATAATATTTCACAATTTTACTATTTTTGATCCAATAAATGCAGCCGTGGTCAGCACGTGACTTCTTTCAAAAACTAAAAATCTTACCAACACCAAACCTTTGAACGGTATAGTACTGTGTCCAAGTTCTTGAAAACACTGCAGTACTTACTCGCATCCACTAGGGGTTTCCATTTGGTACTCCACTCACTAAGTTGCTGCGCGTACTGTCTCTCGACCCTGGCCCTCTCCTGAAAACACGTCACTATGTCATTACATGCCTGGAAGGCATCTTCGGTCCTCTTCACTGTGCTGTGGTAGTTCCCTGGCTGAGAAAGAACATGGATAGAACTGTAAGGTTAATAGTATAATACAGAGGTAAAAGAAAATGAAAGACTGGCTCTTGGCGCTAAAGGTTTATAGTCTATTTAAAAGGGTCAAGAATGAGGTATTTACTCTAAGACAGGGAAAATGTCCCTCTATCATCTGAGCGATTGGCCTAATTTCTTTTCCAGCAGGGTCACTGGGTTTGTTTCCTTTTTTTTATTTTATTTTTTTTATTAAAGCACATATTCCCAATGTTATATTATCTACATCATACACATGAGTATAACGCATAACCACAAGGAAATACAGTTAGGACATAATGTGCTCTTTTTGTTTTGGAACATACAGCAATAACAAAACAAAACAAACACACTCACACAAAAAAAAAACAATCTGGGTTTGTTTCCTATGGATTGGACAAGTTATTATCAGTATACAGTAAGCTTTGCTTATAAACGGCAGAAGACAACATGTGGTGTGGAAAACCAGAGAACATTTCAAACATTATTTCCCCCCAAAAAATATCTGTGACTAGATGAGGACCAGTGAGACGAGAGAATTCAGGCTATGGTAAGTGGAGCATAGCATGGACAGCACAGTGAAAGGGGTTGACTAACAGCAATAACACGATAAATGAGAAAGAATGAGGGAGGAGAGCGAACATAATGACAATTTCAGAATGGGCGTTTTGTTTGCTGATGTGGAGCGTGTTCTACTATTTTGCTGGCAACCATTAGTGGCTCCCCCACGATTTTATCAATTAATCTCTCTCTCTTCTACAACTTCCTTTTGTGCTGTTCTTAGTCGGTTCTTCCTGTTAGTCTGTTCTTCCTTCCTCCTCTCTCTCTCTCTCTCTCTCTCTCTCTCTCTCTCTCTCTCTCTCTTTCTTAGCTGTGGTTTGCACCACATATTTTCCCCAGTCTTAGAAAAAAGTAAAAACAGCTGAGGAATTTCAACTCCAGCCAAGAGCGGTGCAGAGAAGCACCTGCCAACCAATCAGAGAATTGCAGAAACACAACAAATAACACAATTCCTGTCAAACGGAATGTAACATTCAGCTGGACTCAAAGCTGCAGTATTTAAACAGAGCTGTTTCACTGAACAGACAAGCTTTTTAAAAATCAACCCCATTGAACTCTGGCTAAAACTTTCAGCATTTCATCACTGCAATCCTTAGCCAATGTTGTGGTTAACCAATCACAACGTCTGTGATGAACACAAAAACCCTACTGCGCTCAGTTCTGGTCAGCCGCCAGCCAATTACAAGGTAGGACATGCAACAAAACCCTTGCAGGCGATATCAGTGTGGTTGTTGTAAACTGACTAAGAAGCAGTGGTCGGCGGAGAAAACTGTATCACTGGCCAAGCTCCAGATGGGATGACAGCTCAGCAAAAAGTGCTCAGGCTAAGAGGAGAGCTGAGGAGAATCTTAAACAGCTTAATACAAAGTGATAGTGGAAGGGAGCTATAGAAGGCATGGCATGATAATAACAACAAATCACCACAGAAAACTTTATAAATACTAATCAAATAAGACTTACTTAGATGCTAAATTAAATGCAAATTATATGCAAAATAATAATTTAACCAATGAAAATATATTTTAATTATCATTTTTAGATCATTTATGCCAAAAATAGTAAAACCTAAAATTAACTACTGTGGGGACCAGCCAACAGTTCCCAAAAGAAAGTATACAATTAATATATTTATTTAATAATATTGAATAATGTCAAACAAAAATCTGAAACTGCAAAAAGGTTTTTATAAGGATTCTGTGAGGCTTATAGGCTAGAAAATATCATTAGTTCAAAACAAAGACAATAATAGAATGATACAGGAACAACGTGTGTAACTAACAGGTTGCTCCAAGGGGACTGAAATTAGTAAAACACTTTGGATAAACGCAACTGCTAAATAACAGCTTGCTATTTGCTTTAAACATACGTCTGAACATGAACATGACAGTTAAAAGTGCCTGTATATAATTATATACAGTACCGTCATATTATTACCATCATCAGTGTCACAAGAACCTACTGTATTAGGAATATTTTAACTGCTGCAATAATTAATAAAGTATTTTACACACACACACACACACACACACACACGAGTAATTATATATATATATATATATATATATATGCACACACACACACACACACACACACATTTCCACATGAGTTTTAAAGCATCAGAACATCTTAAAAATAATACAGAATTTCTACAGTAGAAAAATACTGTACTGAGAACTATTCTCACAATAGTGAAACAAGACAACAAATTTAAAAAGGTTATAAAACTATTCAAAGGCAAGCTACTGCATGATTCCCAGCAGTATTGGGGAACAGAAAAGTAAACCAATAAAGGAGCTGAGAGAAAAAAGCTGAGCTAATTAAAATGGGTGGAGGCACAATGGATGAAATTTATAGACGGAGATTAAAGTTTAAAAAAACCTTAAAACAAGCTGAAATAGACTCAAAGAGGTGAAATCACTTGAATTTCAATCTTAATTCGGCTAAAATAGAGTGTTCAGTACCTTTTGTGAACCATTTAACTTAATGTCCGAACAAATCTTGTCATTTGTAAATAAAACTGTTTAGGTGTTAAAACCCAAGAGAAGCTACATCAGCTTCATGCATTTCTGGTAACACATACTTAACAAAACAGAAGCGGATGGTATCTTAGAGGTCCATCATCCTGTCTGACTCATTGCTGTCCTCCCTCCCCCTCTCACTTACCATCCAGAAGCTCTGATTGTTGGCATCCTCAGGGCCTGTCTCTGCCGGGAGGGTTGACATGATGAGTCTGAAATAGAGATTCAACATTTGAAAGCATTAAATGTGCACTAATTTTCCTCATTAAAAAAAGTTTACAGAAAAATAAATGGTCACACTTTAGATTATAATACAATAATCACAATTAACTAACTATTAACTATGACCTTTTTTCTCAATAAACTTCTATTTTCTGCTAGTTTGTAAGGTAGTTGTGACGTTTAGGTATTGGGTAAGAGTAAGGGATGTAGAATATGGTCATGCAGAAAAAGGAATTAATATGTTCTTTATAAGTAGCCTAAACAGTAAATATCCTAGTAATATAAACAACTAATGGTGAGAATTGGACCCTAAACTAATGTGTTGAAAGTGGATATATGTAGTCGAAATGTAAAAGAATTTTTGAATTTGGTGCCCTCTTGACCGAGACAGACGACAGAAAAGACAGAAAATAACCGAAGGCTGCATTTGTATTAAGATAACAACTCCCACAATGCACCACATTGCACAGCTCCGCAAGCGACACCCACTAATCCAGAACAGCACAAACAGAGAAATCACTACAAGGCTAACGTTAGCTGCCACCAGAGTTTGAAATTCATTTCACACAAAATTTCTAATTGGTTAGCTGTGGCGAGCAGCAGGATCGAGGGCGAGGGACGTAAGAGGACGGCGCGAGGCCGGTGGTGTGAGTGATAATGAAAGTTGAATAATGTTTTTTTTCTGTTGTGTGTGGACATAAGTCGTCAATGAGGGGCTGCTGGCTTATACTTTCGTTTGTATTTATTCATTTTACTATTAAAATGTTTAAATGTTCGCCGGTTCCCGCCTCCTTCTTCCCACAACAACAAACCCTGTTAACGTTACATTGGCAAACTCATTAGTGAATTATTCCTCGTTTGTATTTATATCTATATGGTGAATTACTGCATGATGGGATGATCAGTCAGGCGAAACTAGGATGGTTCACGTCACAACACAAACGTCCGTGTGCTCATCTGATTCAGAGATTTCGTCCAGGAGAAATTGCCATCATTGAAATTCTCTGCAGCAGACGGACTCTATCTGTGTCCGTAGTTCAAAGTCCGTAGTTCAGAGTCAGTCCGGGCTCTAACAGGCAGCCGCCTCCTGTTCCTCCATCAGCCTCAGCTGCTCTTCACTATACTGCGGCTCGTAAAGATAGCCACGGACATCGGATTCGAGAAACAGAATTTAAAAATTCTCTTCTTCCATATCATGTTTAGTTTCTTCCGTCACTATCTCCACCGCGCTGTTTAGCTTAGCTTCCAAACAAGATGGCTGATATTGATTCAGTATCTGCAAGTGAAGTCCCACCCACTGATCTGAAATAGGCCTGTAGGGTGAGTGGGTCCCACACCCTTGAATAATAATGAGCTAATGTTGGTAGTCTCTACACTTTTCAATGAAATGTGACTTCCTGCTTATGTATAATAAGCAACATGTATATTAAGCATAATAAGCAGGAAGTAAAACACTTAAATCCTTATTTCTCCCATCTCAGGGGGAAATAAAACATGACCATTCAAAATATGACTGGGTACAAAGCTTAATGCAAATGGGTGAAGTGTCCCTTTAAATTGATCCTGACGTCGACAACCAAAACATCTCTCTCTCTCTCTCTCTCTCTCTCTTTCTGTGCGTGTGAATCTGCATCCACACCACATCCATAAGGTGTCAGTAGAAGTCCAAGATGAATGAAGTTCAAACAACAACAACTGTAACTGATGCACATTTGGAGCAAAATTACTAGTATTTTTTTATATATTTGTTTGTTGTGAGTTGCAAAATTAACTATGAACAATAGAGATCAATAGTGTTGCTTGCACTCGCAATTCGACAGAAGCACAAAAGGCTGGAATTTATTTCTAGACTGACTTTTATCAGGCATACAATAGTAAAATGTGTTTCAGAGCTGAATGTCGTACTGTGTCTAATAGCATGATGGGAGGGCGTTGTGTTTTACAAGCTTTCTTTTATTTGAACTACAGTTTACGAAGTGCGTCGGAAAGTGCATGGCTCCAACAAACAAGTTTAATGGTCTTGAAGTCATGTACATGAAAAAGGAGAATAGTAATATACAAGGTTATTTACTGAGGATCAAAGAGTTTTCTGGATTAAAAATGTTACTAGTTAAAGAGTATAAACAAAATGAAATGGATAAAAGCAGATGCGAGTGTTGAAGTGGCTTTGAGAGTTGTGGGTTATAGTGAGACAGATAGCGCTCGATATTCTCCACTGCTATCTGCCTTGATCCAGAGCTCTGGGATTTGAAACTTGAGCCATCCCAAAAATAAACAGGGGTGGAAGTTCACCAACACCAACATATACTCAAACACACACACAAAAACACTAGTTCTCTTCTGAAACACATGTTCATGAGCATGCAAACACGGGTACATGTGGCTGGCCGACAAGCCCACACAGGCACATGTTTGAGCTGCCCCAAACACACGCCATTGACAGCCCAACAAGCCTGTGGCCATTTGTTTCTGTAAATGCAATAAACCACATTTTGTCACAAGACACGGAGTGAGAACAAGATGACAGAAGGCAAGTGAATGAACAAGATCTTATTTGTCTGTCTTCTTTCTCTCTCTCTCAATCCCTCTCATGGGTCTATGTCCCTCAGTGCATTATCCTAAATGGTCTCTTTCTATCCCCTTTTCCCACTACAGGGGTCATGGGTATAGTAAATGACCCTATATTTGAACTTTAACCTCATTTCCTGTTCCCCCTCTGTTCCTCTCCCTCCAGACTTGTGCCCTTAGAGAATATGAGCAGGGAGCACAAGCTTAAAGGGATAGTTCACCTAAAAATGAAAATGCTATCATCATGTAAATGTGGCCCATAGGATTCATAGTTTTCTGAAGCTTTGTGTGAGGAACAGACTGAAATGTAAGTTGTTATTAAGATGGATCTTTGCAATAAGACTGTAACCCTTATTAGGGTTACAGACTTCCCCTGCTTATTAAAGAAACGTCCTCGTTTCTCTCTCAGCTATAATACTGAATTACTCAATTCTCAACAATGAACTAGCATAGCAAATATAAAGGTTACAAGACCATTAATTTTGCTAGAAAAAAATGATCTAAACGGAACGTTCATAAATCAGATTGATACATTCTTCCGTTTTGTGACTTCCATACATCTGAGAGAAACAGATTGAAGGGTGGGGAGTTTGTTTTATCTATCAGTTGTTGATTGGACAGAGACAGATCTGAAGGCAAGCTTGTGTTGATTGTGAGAAAGAGGTTTGGTTTGAGGACTGAATCATTGGAGAAGTCCAGAATATGTCACCAGAGAGAAGTCTGTCAATTCACTGGATGACTCAGTTCTAACATTTGGATGAAAATTTTCCGAGCTCAATAAAGATAAAGTTAAACATATGAATCGTTCACAATAAGATCAATACGATGGATTTAGAAAGTTGACTGACTGGTCAATTTGCATTTCATGCTGACTTTAAGGGATAGTTCATCCAAAAATGAAAATGCTGTCATTTACTCACCCTCAAGTTGTTCAAAAACTAGATGACTTTCTTTCTTCTGCGGAAGACAAAAGAAGATAGTTTGAAGAATATGGGTAACCGAACAAGTTGATTGGCCCTATTAACATCTAGTATTTGTCCTTATACTATGGAAGTCAATTAAAAGCTCACTGGAGGGAAAGAATTTCAGTGAATAAATAAAAAGTTTTTAGTCTGTTTTGAACCCAAAACATATGACTAAGACTTAGAAGAAATATATTGCACAAGCCAAATTTTTTTTTACATGATATTTTTTTCTCAAGACATCTGCTTTTGTGTTCCAAAGAAGACAGAAAGTCATACCTGTTTGCAGTTGCATGAGGGTGTGTATGTGATAACAGTTTTTCACTTTTTGCCTGTTTACATTCAGCCTTTTGTGTAAATGTTAACCTAGACTCCAGTGGACATCTCTGTGGGTCACACTGGACCCTAAAGGATGAACACATCTGCTTAACTGAATTAAATCATCACTACTTGGAGGATGGGGGATTAGACTGAAGTTTTGAACTATAAAACCCAAAAAACTTAATCTAGATTAGCAGATTACAAAGAATAGTGTTTTAGAGAAGATAAAGTGCAATCAAATTGATCTAAATCAAGATCAAAAAAGTTTGAAAGGTTATGTAACTTTTGAGAGAAGGGAATGACCCATTTGTCTGAAAAGTTCCTCATGACGACGTTGCAGTGAATCTCCCTCTTCTCTCCCTCTTATTTTCTCTTTTCTCCCCCTTTCCAAAGCTCTTCAAACCCCGATACCCCTCACCCACCCTGGCTCTCTTTCTCTCTCCTCCCCCTGTCCCCGTTTTGAGTGTCACACATAACTCAACACACACCCACACACTGAAGAAATATATAGCAACTTATGAATACATCAGACAGAAATAGTCTATGAATGCTGCAAAACTCGTCAACGCAATGTGATCTAACTTGTCTCAAACACATCAAGAATAAATGAAGGGCAGAGAAAAACGAGACAACAAACTCACCTCTATCTTTTCCGGGGAAAGTTTCCTGTTAGTTTCTTAGTTTTTTCTGTTTCCAAAGTAACAGATTTTTCCACTTTTAAGACCACATATGGTTATGGTATGTTCTGGATACCCCCTTTCTCTGCTACTCTGTCTTTGACCCGTTGTCAGTGTTTAATGATGTGGCCTACTGTCACTTTCTTTCTCTCCTCTCCTCTCATCTCTCTCTCTAGTTCCCCCTCTTTCCAAAGCAGCTGCAGACTTTTCACTCTGAGGATCATACTACATGACAACACTCCTCCCTCTCTCTCTCTCTCTCTCTCTCTCATTTAAAAGAGAGAGAGAGAGAGAGAGAGAGAGAGAGAGAGAGAGAGAGTTTTTTGAGTTTTAAAACGCTTTATTCAACAACAGTTATTTGTTATTTAACAAAAGAAAACACAACAACAATCAAAAACCAACAACAACACTACATGACTTTACCTTAAATCACATATAAAAAACAACTCATTGTCAAGTATAGAACACATACCAACATCACAACACCATTCAATCTCAAAAATGTTGATTGCATTCATCATCTTGTAATAATTAAAATCAACAAGAATTCTTGATTTAAACATATTCTTAAAAACTGATACAATATGTTGCCCATTTCTCTGTTCTATTTCATTCCTTCTGGAAATATAAATTGCTAATTTGGCTTGGCCAACAATAAAGTTAATCAATTGACACTTGTACTTCTGTAATCTACTATACTTGAAGCCAAATATAAAACATTGCTTTGTAAAAGAAATACCTAATAAAGAGAATAAAAATTCCAGAAGGTCAAAAAGTGGAGAAAGTCTGTGACAGTTCATAAAACAATGGAATATTGTTTCTTTCTCTAAACAGAAAGGACAATTATCATTTACAGTGGGATTCAATTTCGCCACAAAGGCATTTACAGCGATTGCACCATGCAGTATTCTCCACTGGAGATCGCCTGCTCTTTTAGTCAATGGTGGTTTGTATAGTACTCTCCACTCTGGTTTTAATTCCTCTACCACTCCAAACTTGTCTCTCCATACTGTGTCGATTCTACCTTTTAATGTATGTTTATTTATTACCTTCACAATACATTTATATAAGATCTTTCCTTTAACTGTACACAAATCAACATTTTCATTTGCATTCAAACACAACAGAGGACTATTATGTGAGCATTCCTCAAGATCAGGTGTACTTCTGATATCTGGGAAGAGGTCATTATCATCAGGGACAATCTTACCCATACTGTAACTCTCAAGTAGAGCTTTTTCCTTGGAGTTTAAAACCCCATCCAGTTTGTTCAGAAAACTTCTAACAAATCTCACTGATCTTACTCCCAAATGTGTAGCAACAGTTTCTGCATTTTTTAGTCCAGGTCCTGCTTTTTTAACAATATCTTTCAATTGCAACAGTTTCTTTAACACAAGCAAGTTTTTTAGTCCTGGAAGGTCAACTCCTGACACATCAAGGCGACTTCCAAACACAACAGGTTCCTCAAGCAACCAGAAAAGAGATGTGGCTGACTCTGCCCATTCATGCTTAAAAAGTCTCCAAACTTTAAAAAGACTTCTATAAAATGAAGGTATTCTAGACAAATCCAGGAGATTATAGTCCATTAAAAACAGTACAGCATGAAGTCCCATTCCGTTCACTCCAGATAAGATAGTCTGTGCTAATGGTCTCCACACTAGATTCTGGGGACCCATCAGCAAACGCTGAATGAACTGCAGCCTAAAAGTCGCTCCTCTGCTGACCAGATTCACCAAGCCTTGACCTCCTTCATCCCTTGGCAGGAAAAGAACACTTTGAGGCGTCCAGTGTAGATTATCCCAGAAGAAATTGACCATTTCTGCTTGAAGTTTTGGTAACAGTCCCAGAGGCGGATCGACACAGGCAAGTCTGTGCCATAACGAGGATCCCACCAGATTGTTGATTATGAGCGTACGACCTCGATAAGACAGTTTGGGGAGTAGCCATTTCCATCTCTGTAAACGTCCTTTGATTTTTTCTAGCATACAATCCCAATTTTTTGTAACAAAGTCATCATTCCCTAGAAAAATTCCAAGATATTTAAATCCACCTTTCTTCCACATTAAACCACCAGGCAAACTGGGTGGACCTCTATTCCAATCGCCCATTAAAAGGGCCTCACTTTTCCCCCAGTTGACTTTTGCAGAAGACATTTTTTTAAAACTGTTAACAATAATCTTCAATTTTTCAATGTCATCAGCACCAGATATAAAAACAACTACATCGTCTGCATAAGCAGAAAGGTGCAACGTGATATTACAGTGTGGTATAGTAAAACCACTCAACTCATTTCTTAATTTATGAAGCAGAGGTTCAATAGCCAGGGAATAAAGCATGCCCGACATGGCACATCCCTGTCTAACTCCCCTCTGAATCGTAAACGGAGCACTCAAACCACCATTGACTTTGAGAACACTTTCAATGTCACAATACATGGCCTCAATCATATTTATAAAAACCTGACTAAAACCAAAAGCTTCTAAAACATCTCTCAAATATGCATGCTCTACACGGTCAAAGGCTTTTCTTGGTCTAACGAAATTAGACCACCATTTACACCGAATAGCCTTGCAACCTCCAAAACATCTCTGACCAATGAGACGTTATCGAGGATTGACCTATTGGGTATGCAATAATTCTGATCAGAATGTATTATTTGACTCAGAACTTGACTTAACCTTGTAGCTAAAGCCTTTGACAAAATTTTATAGTCGGCACATAACAGAGATATCGGTCTCCAATTGCTTATATTTTGGAGATCTCCCTTCTTGGGCAGGAGGGTAATAACAGCTCTTCTACAGCTTAATGGTAACAATCCTTTATTCAAACTGTCATTAAGAACTAAAAAGAAATCTTCACCAATCACTGGCCATAAAATTTTATAAAAATCAACAGGAATCCCGTCAATGCCAGGACTTTTTCCATTTTCCATCTTCATCATAGCGATATATAATTCTTTTTGTGACAAATTTTGTTCAAGCTTAATGTTAGACTCTTCATCAATCTTTGGAAGACCGTTAAAAAAAGTAAAATCATTATCTTCTCTTTGAGACAATTCACATCTATATAAGTTTGAATAAAAATCAACAGCATGTTTGCGTATCTCACTAGGCTCAGTAAGCTCTTTCCCTGTGTCCGAGCGTAATGAATGAATGATACGACTTTGGCCGTTTTTTTTTTCCAAATTGAAAAAAAATTTAGATGGTGCATCCATTTGTGAGATGCTTTGAAAACGTGAACGTATTAACGCCCCTTGAGCTTTTGTACCCAACATATCTGCAAGCATTTCCTTTTTGGATTTGCTACTATCAAAGCAATCACCGTCACCTGTAGAAGCTGTTGTATTTAAAAGTTCTATAATTTCATTTTCTAAAATCTTCATTGACTGGGCCATATCTTTAGTGGCATTAAGAGTGTACTCTTGACATAACTGTTTTATGTGGACCTTGCCACAATCCCACCATTGTTGTAAGGAAGTATAAAACTGTTTTTGTTTCTTAAAATTTTCCCAAAACAAATAAAAAATGTCAATAAACTTTTTATCATTTAAAAGGGATGTATTAAAGTGCCAATAAGCACTCTTTAAACACACAGAATTAATAAAAAAATTGCAAACAACAGAACAGTGATCAGAAAACCCTACAGGAATTATTTTACATTCTCTGACCAGATTTGCTTGATAATTAGACACATAGAGCCTATCCAGTCTTGCCATAGAAATAATATTATCTCTACTATGTGCCCACGTATACTGCCTATTCTTGTGATGCACATTCCTCCAAACATCACACAAATCAAATGTTCTCATCAACTGCGTGAACGCTTTTTGAGAGGCAATATGTGGCTCTAAGTGATTTCTGTCCAATTTATCATTCTCAGTACAATTAAAATCTCCACCGAGGAAAAATAATTCTTCAGGGCTTAGGTCTTTCAGGGCAACACTAATTGTATCAAAAAAAGCAATTCTTTCAGCCCCTTTTGTGGGGGCATAAATATTTAAAAAAGTCATTGTAGTGTTTTCAAACTGAGCTTTAACTTTTAAAAACCGGCCTTTAACTATTTCTTCCATTTCACAAGAAATTGGCAGGGATTTCTTTGAAAACAAAACAGCTACACCTCCACTATTGGAAGACATATGACTCAAACAAATTCCTCCATCCCATTCTTTTTTCCAGTCTACCTCATTATTCAAGTCACTATGTGATTCTTGAACAAAAGTGACATCAATATGTTTTTGTTTAATAAATTCAAACAAACACATTCTCTTCTGACCATCTCTAGCACCATTTAAATTGAGAGTTCCAATTTTAAAATCTCTCATAAAAAATGATGTTTTAAAAAGACAGAAGTAAATAAAAGAAACAGTCAGAAAGGCAAAAACTTCTATCAGAAAGAAGAAATTATACCATGTCTTGTTTTTCGTCATTAAGATTTTGCTTTCTAAGTTTACTCACAATTTTTCTAAGACGGAAAACTTCTTTGTCTGCAAAAGCACCTTCTTTCATTAGAATTTTTGCATCATTGATGAAAGTTGAGCGATCAGGGAAGTAATCTTCAACCTGAACTCCAGGTAATCCTTTTGTCTCTTTCAAAAATTTGCTAATGTCCTCAACTTTATATACTGTGGTCTGATTCTCATTTTCATTTTGCGATGAAAGATAAGAACATTCAGAAACATTAGAATCTGAAGAATCACTGTCATTCTCTGGGACTAAATTTTCAACCTCGTTTTTGTCTTTTTTTGTTTGTTTAAGGACTTTGCTCTGGTGGACTTTTTTTCTTTTATTTGGAACTTTGAAGATTGGCACTGTTTCCATCTCCATTTCAACAACACCCTCACTGACCTGTGTATCAGTAGTTGTCATTTTATCTAAATTAATGTCACTGCTCGAATTAACAGTGTCAAAAATCATGAGATCAGAGACAGAGATCAGACCTGCAGCAATCTCAGCCATAGTTGGTTTATTCCCAACCGACCCACCAGAACCACCAGCAGCAGCAGCAGGGGCCACAACATCCTCTGTGACAGACACAGCTTCAGGAGGATTACTCTGAGTGTTGGTCTGTACAGTAGCATTTTCGTCTATTTTATCAGGACAAACGCGTATCAGATGGCCAATTTTGCCACAGCCAAAGCACTTCATTATACTTTCAGACGTTGCATAGACTGTGTAATTAAAATCCTCAACTTTAACATTGAATGACAGGTTCAGCTCATCAGCATTGTTTTTCAGAACCATATAGACTTGTCTCCGAAAAGACACTACATGTTTCAGCAAGGGTGATTTACAGCTAAAAGCAATCTTTCTAATGGGAGAGACTATCTTACCAAAGAAAGACAATTCTTTAGCAATACTTGCATCAGAAACAAAAGGAGGTACATTCGACACAATAATCTTTCGAGAAGGGCTACTAAGCGGCAGAACAAGCGTAAGCGCATCATTGATTACAACGCCCGTTTGAACAAGTTCATTCACTTTTTCGATCGCGTTTAAAAATAAAACAACCGCGTTGTTCATTTTAGATGCAGAAACAATAGCGTTGTAACCAACTACATTACCAACCGCTAAAGCACATTCCTCTACACTAAAATTACACAAAAGCTTAATCCCATGACGCCGAGTTAGACCATCACTGCTCGTTACACCTGAAGCAGCCATGCTTCCCGGCAATAAAGACGCCGGGAGCAGACTCCCAACTTTCTCTAAAGAAAACTAATCCTCAAACAAACAAAAAAACAACACACAAAAACATAACCAAACAAAACAAACACAAAAAAGTTAGAAAACACACTCAGGTGTGTCACTCACCACGCACTCCTCTCACTCACTCAGCAAACGCTCGCACATGCGCACAAGAGAGAGAGAGAGAGAGAGAGAGAGAGAGAGAGAGATACTGTGAGGCTGCTCCTCACAGTATAAAGTAGTAATGAAGGGAGTTCAGACAATTAGTGTGGATGCATAACCCAAGAGAACCATATCTGTTGCACACTTTTTCTTTTTACTTACCACCCCTAATTTGGTAGAACTATTTCATTTTCTATAAATTGTGTCTGTTGTAACAGCCAAATTTATTACGAACATAATGTACATACCTCAGAAATGCCCATGGTCACTTCACTTGTGCTTCCACACAACAGCTGTCTGACATATCCAGTGGAGGGAAATACGGGGGAGTACTGTGGGTTCATCTAATGGGAAACATTAATATCACAGCTTGGACCCCTAATTATTATATAACCTTTATGTATCCAGTTAAAACAAAAAAATTCAACTACAGTACAGTAGCTACAGTATAAATTGCATGAAATATAAGCTACAAAAGGTCAGGTGTAATAGTTTAATATACAGTATGGCAGTTTTATTCTATAGATATTTTTATTATAAATAATATTCTTCATAAGAAGCATGTGAACTTTAGGCTATATGATCTCTAAAGTCTATTTTTCCATAACTAAATACCACAATAGCTGTGTCAACGTAATGACTAAATATAACCAAGAAACAATTTTTTAACTGTTCAGGCTTACCAGTGAAAGGTAATTCCACGATATCTGGTTTGTAAAACCTCAAAATAATCAGGCACCTTTTATTCAGTCCACTTATGAGAGTTACTACAACATCCTACAGGAATGTGGGAACATTGAGGCGGAAACAGTAAAACATATACATATAAAATGCAGAAAATGTACTGAGGAAAGACAAGAAATGATAGCAAAGTTAAAAAAAAATGGGACGTATAGATAACACTGTAAAAAGTTTGTTAGAGTATGGAGAAAGCGTGGAGGTAATGGAATTGGTTATCTGAGGGCGACTGGATTAGATAGGCGGATTTGTATGGAAACAAAGGATTAATAAAGCCTGAAGGTGGCAGTAATGCAACTAAATGGATGCCAGCTGCCATTAAAACCCAAAGAAGAAGAAGAAGAAGAAGAAGAAGAAGAAGAAGAAGAAGAAGAAGAAGAAGATAGTTGCCCGGACAATTTTTGTGAGGACCACCCTGAAACTGTTTGCACCTATTGCTCACACACCAGAAAATTTTGGCAAAACCTCAGCAGATTCATCATCGACCATATTTATAGCTAAAAACTTTGCTTTATTGTAGAAGGATGTTGTTTTGTTTTTTAAAGAAGTCATAGTAAAGAAAAGACATACTTCAATATAAATTTGTTAATTATTTTGGTAAAATTTCATATTCATAAATGTAAATTCAGTGCTAAAAAACCTAACTTTGTACTTTTTTTCAACAAAGTTGTACATTATATTAAGCTGATTTCTGGCTCCAACAACAAAAAGGCAATTAAAACTGTCAACATTATGGTCCTTTTTTTTTCTTTGTAATGGCCCTTATGCTTCCCCTGCGAAACTGTTTTGTATTTGTTTAAATGTTATATTTCTGTATATTGTATTAATGTATATTTTGTTAATTTTTTTGTGATGTGATTTGTACTGTGTTTTTGAAAAAAAAAAAAAAAAAAAAAAAAGTTGCCCGGACAAATATGGTGGCGCCGTTGTGGTACGATCCAGCGGTCGTGGTTTTATCCACACTTCAAAAATCGACCTTCAGGGGACTTTTGGCTTTCTCTTTTCATCATACTATGCATTGGGGCACACTTAACGTAATCTAAAATAATTTTGTATGGATAGTATGGACATATGACGCAGGGGATTTAATTGAATTTGTAAGTAGTAGGCTCCATAAATGACTTATGCACAGCACTACTTCCTGAACTTAAGCCAGCTCCCTTGTTTCCTGTTTGCCATTATTGGCCAAGCTTGATTAATTCAGGTGTGTCTGATTATTCTTGCCGTGACTACTGAGGTCAGGCACACCTGAACTAATCGGCTAATAATGGCAGACAGGAAACAAGGGAGCTGGCTTAAGTTCAGGAAGTAGTGCAGCTAGTTTGGTACAATTAAAAAAAAATACATTAATTAAATTGATAATACAAATAAAACTTATAGAAAGATACCGAGTACTTCTAAACTTCATGTTTATAATTAAATAAGAATCTTAATTTTGGGAAGGCGATATTAATGGACACCTAAAGGTCCTACTCAGGATATAAAAGCCGCCACACTGCCAGCGTTAGAGTTCTCTTCTCAGTCGACATTGAAAGAATTTGTTGCAGCATGTGCTTGTAAGTGCGTGGGTGTTTGATTTTTTTAAATTGTCAAATGTATATTACATGTTTGTCAGAGCTTTCTGTAATTATATAAAAAGTTTACTAGAGGTTAGTTCATAGTTTCTTCACCTTTCTTCTAGGTAAGTTGATAAGTCCGCGTTACATTTCACCACGTGGTGCGTGCGTTAACTAGATCCTGTTCGTGAGTGGACAGTATGCGAAATTACTTAAATAAAATAGACTATTTCCTGTCAAATGGTTCAAGGTGCGTTTGCACTGTATGCAATGGATCTGTTTTTGAGGCAAACTCGTATTAATGTTAGCCTATGCTTTCTTTTGCAGAAGATCGATTAAATCAGGGCCATCACTTGCTCCCTTGAGATGAGAGAAAGATCACTTGCATTGTTTTAAAATGATTATAAATTTGTGTTGTAGGTTTGTTAAACGCTTCAATGATGTTTTAGCACTGGGCTCTGAGCTTATGTGTAGACAAAAGTGCAATTCTGCTCCTGACATGGCAGAAGCTGAGAAGTGTTGAAATGCAATTAAAAATAACATAGTCTGATCATCCAGATTACAAGTTTACGTTCCTTTGGCATTTATTGTAGTGTTGCCGCATTAAGCATTTGGACATGTGCATATTTATACTGAGTCCCACAGTTTTATGTGTGAAGAGGTCATCTCAATCATCACAAACTCCTTTTGGGAAAATAAGCTCCTGCAAAGCCAAGGAATGTGTACGATTTTTAGCTTAATTACTCAGGACAAAGCAGGGACAACTATCACGAAACTAGGAAAAATAGGATCATTTGATAACGTTACATGCCATAAAAGAACTGGCTAATTTGTGTACATTGCTATATTTGGCATGTGGACGAAGTTTAAACATGTTATGAGAGTAATTCAGGGCAGTACTAAATCATTTGCTTTCTTTTGCAGAAGACCGTAAATCAGGACCCATCACTGTTTCCTCAAGGTAAGATAAAGCTGCATTGTTTAAATGAGTATACATTTGTTGTATTTGTAAAAGGCTTCTATGATGTTTTAGCACTGGGCTCTGAGCTTGTGTGTAGACAAACGTGCAGTTCTGCTCCTGACATGGCAGAGGCTGAGAAGTGTTGTTAAAATGCAATCAAAGAAGGGATTAAATGTGAGATTCTTAACAAAACTGGTCTTTTCTTACAGAGTGGAATCTGGAGAGAAGTGAGTGCACTGTCGGCGAGTTTCCACCTTTCTGCAAATGTTTTATCTGTCTAAGATGCTGTTTATTTTATGACAATACAAGTGGTTTGTTTCTGTATAGAGCTTTTTTTTATTTTGACAACCATTAAAGGAGACTTTAAGACCCCTCAAGCTCTGCACTGGTTTCAAATTCCATGATCTGAAATGCTGTTCTTATTAGATGCTTAAAGGGATGGTTCACTTTGAAATTATTTTTGATATGTTTTAGCTTACCTCAAGGGCATCCAAGATTTATTTTCAATTTTGATATTTTAGGTCAAACCGTTCTTGTCTGTCAGTCATATAATGGAGATTTATGGGATTCACCTCAAAAAGCATGCACAGAGAAATCCAAATTAAGTATGATTAATGACTCGTAAACGTAAGTATACATTGATGGCCTAAGACATGAAACATCAGTTTGTGTGAGAAAACAAATAGTATTTATATCGTTTTTACCTCTTGAAAATACTGTGGAAATAAAGATCCCCTACATATTGGATGCCCTTGAGGTAAGCTAAAAAACATCAAATTGTTTTCAAAGTGAACTATTACACCAGGGTTCCCACAGTCATCAATTAAAATCACGTAAAATAGTTTCCTTACCTGGGGAAAAGCCAAGGTGATTTTGTTCTTCCTGGAGCTGGCCGGTTTCTAATGAGTAGTTTTATAAAACGTTCCATGATGCAATATTGATTCGTCATATGTGAAAATAAAAAGTGTGAAAACCATCAGTAAGAAAAAGTGACTAGTACGGGGCAAAATGGTGTTTAGATTAAAAAAACTAAGCCTATCTTTATTTTTTAGCAGCATTACTTGGGACAAATAGTACCATTATCACAAGACTTGCATAAAGATCAGAAAAAGCTACATGGCATAAAAAAGAA